TCAAACCTCTACCCCCGGGGGCGATTCGTGTGGGTATTTTGGCAATTTTGGTAAAAGTTGGCTATTTCATTAATACTAGAATAGTATTCACACAATACAGCGAGATACATCTTGATTTTATTTTTTTGTCGCAATCGATGTTATAATACGATTTTATGTGATTTTGAGAAAATGATAATGTTTTTATTTTTGAACAAAATATAAATATGAAGATATTATAAAATATTTAAAAAAGTACCAAACTAACTATTTTTTTGTGTATTTCTGTAGTGCATTTTTTTATTTTTGGTTTAATAATATAATTTTTTTATGAGGATAATAATTAATTATTTTTTAGAACTCGATAATTATCTTAATTATAATTTTAGATTTTTTATATTTTAAAATGAGATGTTTATCCTCTATTTGATTATGTTTATCCGCAGTTAGTTATACGAATTCAAAAAACCGAGCTTTAATAAGTTGTACTTACGTACAATCAACTTGTAATCTTGAATTTTAAATAATATGCATTAATAAACAGTACTTCATGCATAAAAAGTAGTTTTTAAGAGTTTTTGTCAAATGCTTTATAATATAGTATAGATATCAGGTATATTTTAGTCGTTTTGGTGATTTTCCCTATAATTAAATAGTACCACTGCCACAACTTAAAAAAAGTTCTAGATCTGTCTCTATTTCTAAAGACTAGAAGAATACTCGTGCAATGCAGCGAGATACATCTTGATTTTAATGTTTTGTTTTATATTTTGAATCTATTAATGTTATAATACGATTTTATGTGGTTTTGAGAAAAATAAAATGTTTTTATTTTTGAATAAAATATAAATTTGAAGATATCATAAAATTTTGATAAAATAAGCGATATTAGTGTCAAATTAACTACTTAAAAGTTCTTTTTTGTGTAATTTCTTTAATTCAATTTTTTATTATAATTTAATTGAATTTTAAAAATAAAATAATTTATTTTTGTTTAATAAAATAATTTTTTAAGATAATAATTAAGTATTCTGTTAGAACTCAATGATTATCTTAATTATATTTTAGATTTTTTATATTTAAAATGATGTTTATCATGTATTTGATTATGTTTATCTGCAGTTAGTTATACGAATTTAAACATGAAGTTTTAATAAGTTGTAGTTACTTACAATCAACTTGTAATCTTGAATTTTAAGTAATATGCATTAATAAAAGTACTTTATGTATAAAAAATTATTTTTAAGAGTTTTTGTCAAATATTTTATAATATAGTATAGATAACATAATTAAATTTTAAGAACTAAATAAAGAATTGTTGTAGGAAACTAATGATAGAATATAAAATTATCTAATCATGTTAAGTTTCAAATATTTATTTTTTATTCAAAATTTTAAGCATTATAATAATTAGTTTGAAAATATTGATTGGGTAGCGTAGTAGAAGGTCCCATTTTGCAATGAGTAGAAGGGTGGGGACCATATGCAAAAAGTATGCATAGTTTAGGGACCACTTGTACATTTGTGAAAACACGCACACAAAGACAAGGACTCGGTGTCTTTTACAATTATGTTATAGTTTTTTAAAGTATGATTGATTCATAGAAGATAGTGATTTTCGTTTATGTGGTTTTGAAATTGTAATTTTAATTTCTATGGTCTATAATTTGTTGTTGTTCTTTTTATTGAGATTAAGGTGACGTTTTGTTTTTTAAGAGTTACTGAAGTCTGAATTCTGATTTTTAAGAGGTGGTGCTGAAGTCTGAAATATGAATAAGTCAGACTGTTTGTTTTTATGTCTGAAGTTTGAAATCTGAATTAGTCAAAGTGTTTGTTTTTGTAAACTGACAAAAGTCTTAACTATAAAATCTGAATCAATTCATTTCAATTAAATTCAACTGAAATACCCAATCATTGAAACCATTTGTAAACAACCATCTATTTTTAACACATTCAAAAATTCAACTGAAATACATCAATTGATTCAACACACAATAGAAAACACGAACAAGGTCTCTCATAACAACTAAGATCAATATTCATTTGCATTAATTGTTCAAGATGCTTGCCAGCATTTACAAGGCCTATACTATCGGCTTGCTTGGTACCATAAAATCCCTTAGCAAAGACGGTAATCACAAATAAAAGAAACAAAAAGGGAAATCGAAGACTCGATTGTGTAGTAATTGATTGCTTCTTAGACCCTCCCTTTCTTGTTTGGGTCGATTTTCCTCGATTGCACCAAAGCATAATATAAGAATACATTGTGGGGCACCCTACTACTCCAACAACTTGCTTAATTATTCTTGACTTGAGCTTTGGAACCAAAAGACCTGCCGTTACAAGTAAATCACGATAAGTGACTATTATGCAACAAAAGAAAAGAAAGGGGTGCAAACATCACGGAATTTCAACCTATTAGAAGTTCTTTTCCACTAGGTTGTGCATCAGCAAACATCCACACAAATAACAGTCCCATAGTTGAGATGAGAACTCCCAAACCAACTTCCAAAAACAAGTGGAATTATTAGCTTTTTAGTTGTTAACCAAAAAAACAACTAGCTACTACAAGTTAGAATCAAACCCCAGAACTCCTATATGGAGAGCTTTAATTTGGAGAACATCAACCATCCCTCCAAGACCAAATTTGAGTTGCACGTTTGGTTTTAAAATATTTCAAGGCACCCTCAAAATCAAGTGTGTGCACGTTCAAGACACCTGCTTTCCTTTATGATAATAAAAACGACAAATTTTTAACTAATATTTTTATATTATAAGAAAAAATTTACATAGATTAAAAACAAATTTAAATAAAACTAATTCTCTTAGTTAATATACTCGTTCCACAAATGATTAATTAATGCATTTTCAATTCAAAATGAACATCTTTTTTCTTGATCTGTTTATGTTGAGCAGAAAATTTTACCTCTTAGAAAATAGCAGTGGTAAAAGGTTGATAGAAAACATAATTTTCTATACTGATCTAACTTCTATCTTTGATCTCATGGTTTATGAGTACACGAAAAAGGAAAAAAAAAACCTTGAATAATAGAAAAAGGGAACACAAGAATATTAGGTTGATACGTATGGACAAGGAACTCAATATCAAACATCTCAACATCAATAATTTGGAGAAGAAGAAATTCAAGACCAAGTTGTGAGATTTTAAAAACGTGCTAGTAAACTTTAGCCACTATATGACTAGCAAAAACAAGTAACATTTTCAATTTATATATTTTTTTGTTATGAAACTGTTTATCCAGTATTATGTATGTTTAATTTTGTTATAAATTTTAATTTTATTGGTTTTTTGTTAATGCAAGTTTTTATTTTTTATTTGCAATTTATTTTTTAAATAGACATCATTTATATAAATATTAATATATTTGATAAATATAAAAAACAACAACCTTAAAGAATTATATTTAAAAATGATTATTAAAAAAACATTATTTAATAAAATGATAGATGTTGCCATTAATGAAAAATTTGATTAGTTTGTGGTAACCGTGAAATCCAATCTAAATTACAAATCAAATGTTAAATTAAAAAATTAATAAGTTTGGTAATTTTAACTAAAAATATTAATTAAAGGAATTTTAGTCATTCTAGATCTCTCCTCTCTCTTCTCAACCCTCACCAACAAACACCATATCGACACATGATGCACACTATGATACGCTTCATAAAATAACGAAAAAATACAATGTGATATACTTGGTAAAGAAAACATTACCTGATATATTGTGTTACACTTCGTAAAACAACAAAAAATATATTGTGATACACTTCGTATAACGACAAAAATACACTGTAATACACACTATGATACCAGATCTGGTTAATGAATACAACTGTGATACCACTATGTTACTAGTGCGATACCCAATAACTTTTAACAGTAAGAAATTATATATTTATTTATTTTAATTGTAACTTCATAGAAAGAAACTTCCATAATTTGTTTGATTAATAAGGAAACAATATCAATTTCTTTGATTGATAACCTTTTTACAAAAAATATTAATAAAATTACTAATACATCATTTTTCTTAATTAAGGTAATACAATTAATATAATAAAATGATTGACTCATATTAGACTTCACAGTTATCACAAACTAATTAATTCTCATTTGATTTAGCATATATATATATATATATATATATATATATATAGGGGAGCGATCAAATGCAAACCACTCAATTTGTACAAACCGTGCAAACCGCATTCAACCAATCATAATTTTTCATTTTGTTCATTTTTTTGTAATTAGGAGAGGTTGATTAATCATTTTTATTGTGGAGGGTGTTAATCATAGATATTATCATCTTCATTATTTTAATTTTAGAGAAATACATGAAACAGTTTCATTAATGTTAGAGAAATACATGAAACAGTTTCATCAAGTATTATATGAAACAATTTCACAAGATTAAACAATTTCATGAAAAAATTTCATAAGATTAAACAATGAAATCGACAGATGAAGGTGGTTTGCACGGTTTACACAAATGAGGGCGGTTTTCATATGATCACTCCTCTATATATATATATATAATTTTATAAATAAAAACAGATATGACTAATGGGATTTTAGGTGGGCACCACCATTTGCCGTTTCAGTTCAAACACAACATATTTGCGAGAGAACCTTGGCCGGCATTTCTTTTTATCTTTTGCCGAACGATTGGTTGGAGGTCTCCAAACGCCAAAAAAATGGATTACAACATTCGGTTAAAGAAGTTAGAAATTATTATTAGTATTTTGGTAATCTTGTTATGTGAAAAACATTTTTCAAATCAAATGAGAACCAAAATAAAAGTAAAGATTGCTTCATGTACTTTTTCACTTAAAAAAAAGAGCCCAACATTACATCTAGCATCTCTCAACATTTCCCAATGCCCAAACCCAAACTATACCAAATAACCAGAAGCTATTATTGCCTACCATTCCCTGAACGACAGCGTTTTCTAAAACCCAAATCCCATTTCCTGCATGTGATCTAAAAAAACCACCACCTAATCCACTTCCTCAATCTTGGGTCCAGCACCGCTTCCACCGGCCGGAGCGGCTCCTCCACCCCCACCGGCGCCATCAGGGACACCACCTGCCTGATACATCTTAGCAATAATGGGATTGCAAATACTCTCTAATTCCTTCATTTTATCCTCAAATTCATCCACTTCTCCCAACTGGTTGGCATCCAACCAATTGATCGTTTGCTCGATGGCATCCTCCATCTTCTTCTTGTCCGCAGCTGCAAGCTTCGAAGCTACTTTCTCATCACTTATGGTGTTCCTCATGTTATAAGCATAGTTTTCTAATGCATTCTTCGCTTCCACTTTCTTCTTGTGTTCTTCGTCTTCAGACTTGTATTTCTCAGCTTCTTGCACCATTTTTTCAATGTCTTCCTTCGACAATCTTCCCTTATCATTTGTGATTGTAATCTTGTTCTTCTTCCCACCAACTTTATCTTCAGCAGAAACATTTAGAATACCGTTTGCATCGATGTCGAAACAAACGTTGATCTGAGGAACCCCGCGAGGGGCCGGAGGAATACCCGAAAGCTCAAACTTTCCTAACAAGTTGTTATCTCGTGTTCTTGTCCTTTCTCCTTCGAAAACTTGAATCAAAACACCCGGTTGGTTATCGGAGTAGGTTGAAAACACTTGTTCTTTTTTGGTTGGGATTGTTGTGTTTCTTGGAATCAATACGGTCATGACTCCACCCGCGGTTTCCAGACCAAGTGATAGAGGAGTGACGTCTAAAAGCAAGAGATCTTGTACCTTTTCGTTACCTTCACCGCTTAGAATCGCGGCTTGAACAGCAGCACCATAGGCAACAGCCTCATCTGGATTTATGCTTTTGCAAAGCTCCTTCCCATTGAAGAAGTCTTGCAATAGTTGCTGGACTTTTGGGATTCTTGTGGATCCACCCACGAGTACGGTATCATGGACAGATCTTTTGTCCATTTTAGCATCTCTCAAGCACTTTTCCACGGGGTCCATGCACTTTCTGAAGAGATCCATGTTAAGCTCCTCGAATCTGGCTCGAGTCATGGTGGTGTAGAAATCTACACCTTCGTATAAGGAATCAATCTCGATTGTGGTTTGAGCGGTGGATGAGAGGGTTCTTTTAGCTCTCTCGCAGGCGGTCCTTAACCTCCTTAAAGCTCTAGGACTTCCACTGATGTCTTTCTTGTGTTTTCTCTTAAACTCCTGAACAAAGTGATTCACCATTCGATTGTCAAAGTCCTCTCCTCCAAGGTGTGTATCGCCAGCAGTAGCCTTCACCTCAAAGATACCCTCTTCAATTGTAAGAAGGGAGACATCAAAAGTACCACCACCAAGATCGAAAATAAGCACATTCTTTTCACCTACGCTAGCGGCTTTCTTGTCTAAACCATAAGCAATGGCAGCAGCAGTGGGTTCATTGATGATACGCATCACGTTTAAACCAGCAATGACTCCAGCATCTTTAGTAGCTTGCCGCTGGGAGTCGTTGAAGTATGCAGGGACTGTAACAACTGCATTTTTGACAGTTGATCCGACAAAAGCCTCGGCAATCTCACGCATTTTGGTGAGCACCATGGAAGAGATCTCCTCAGCTGCAAATTGCTTATCTTCCCCTTTGTAAGAGACCCCAATCATGGGCTTGTCTGAAGGCCCAGCTGTAACCTTGAATGGCCACAGCTTCATGTCGTCCTGCACAGATGTGTCACTGTATCTCCTACCGATTAATCGCTTTGCATCTGTGTTTTTGGGTCAAATTGTAAAGATATGACTTTAGCATTTTTGAAACATAATGAAACAAAATTATATCAACAGACTCAAAAGTGATCAATGAAAAGATTTATCACTTTTCATAACTTGCGATACAAATTCAAGTGCACTACTATATATATCAATTGCTAGTTGTCACATGATCATCCATTAGAGCAAAACCTGCTTCTCTAATCTCTTCTCTCTGGGCAGTGATCACTTAAACTCTCCATAACAAGCACGGCTACAGAAATACAGATAATTCTATATCATTTAATTTTAGTCTCAGAAACAAACATGGTGGTAAGGAACATGTGCCAAAATACAATTTCTACCTAGAAAGACTTTTCAAACTCCATAATGTAATAACAATCCCAAATCAACCCGGTGATTACAGTAGTATCTTATAGAACCAGTTAAAATTGCCAATCTGCCAATAATTAGCAAGTTGCCATTGATGATTTATCAAGCTCAGACGTCTACGGAGGCCAATACTTAGAATTAGGCGTTCATTGCAACCATCATTGCTACCAAAATAATTCACATTTTTTTGTTAACCTGGATATCCAAACTCGCTATGTAAGCCGACTAATCCCAGAGCGACCACCTGCTTTGCGGGTAGCCCGGAGTCACCGCATTTGAACCTCCATGGTTACAAGAGGATTTTGGATTTGAATCTGTGAGCTCTAAGCATAACTTGCCGGAGAAGAAAGTATGAGAAGATCATTGTATAAAAATTAACTATGGCGATCTTAACGGTATAATAAAAGAATAACTTTCAAAGCATGAAATTCAGAAAATAAAATCAACACATGACGGGATCAATGAACCAACAGTTTAATGAAAAAAACTAACAGAAACTGTAAGTGTTAATTCATCGACGTACCAAAGACGGTGTTCATAGGATTCATAGCGACCTGATTTTTAGCAGCATCACCAATAAGACGCTCGCTATCCGTAAACGCAACGTAAGACGGAGTCGTCCTGTTGCCCTGATCATTAGCGATGATCTCAACACGGTCATGCTGCCATACTCCGACGCACGAGTACGTCGTACCTAGGTCGATTCCGATCGCCGGACCTTCACCTTTCCCGGCCATCCTCAAACACAATTTGATCCGAAAGGAATATGCAAAAATTTACAGTTGCTACACAATATTGGCGCGAGTTTCATTGATGTGGAGCCAAGGCTATTTATAGCGTTCTCAGAATTAATACCACAACCGTTAATTACAGTTGTAAGATCGATTAATCCGAGTCCTCCGTCTGTAAATTTGACCATGTAAAATTAGGTGTTTCTAGAATTCTTTTACATCACTATACTTTTTTTTTAATAAATTCATGAGTAAATTATAATTTTAGTCCCTATGATTTATAACAAATAGAGATGGCAAAAAAACCCTGAAACTGATGGTGAAAACCAAAAACCGAAACTTTCGATCCAGGTTCGGGGACATCTTATCGGGGACGGGACGGGGATCGGGGACAAATTTGAGGATTTTAATGGAGACGGGGATAGGGGGGGGGGCCAGGCCAGGCCAGGCCCGGCCCGATATGTATATATATTAATTTTAAATTATATACATACATACATACATGCATACACATACACACACACACACATATATATATATATATATGTATATAATATCATTAATAGAAAATAGTAACATTAAAATTAAAAGACTTTTATCCACTTTACCTCAACAATCCAAAATAAAGCTCACGAAAAAGTTTAGTTTATTTGTATAAAATTGTAATTTTAGTTGTATGATGCTTGGATTTCTGTTTAGTTTTATTTTGTAATCTAATATATTGTATGTAATTTGTTCGATTATGTTTGAGACATTTAAACTTACATCTTAAAAAAATTGTAGTTTACTTTTAGTTGTGAAAATTAGCATATTGTAATTTTTTTCAGATCGGTTTCGGGTTTCAGTTTCGGGTTCGGTTATAACCAACGGTAAAAAAGAAGATTTTTACCCTTAACGGGTTCCCCAACGGGGATCAGGGAGACCGCGGGGACCCGATGGGGATCCCCGATAAGATCCCCGACGGAGATCGGGGAGGTTACGAGGACGACTTTAACTATCGGTTTTGGGGACGGGGATACCAATACCCGGCTCGTTGCCATTCCTAGTAACAACTTATGATCTTCATTTTTATGCTTTAAAAATTACGATCTACGTCAATTTTTTTTTCGTCCTCATAATTTATAATTTTATTGCTTTTTCGGTTTCTATACTTAAAATTATGGAATGACCTTAGTAACGATTTGCTAATTATAGGGATGAAAATAGTAATCTCTAAATTATAGGGACGAAAATCATAACCCAGCCCAACATAATTCCAGCTTAAGTTAAGTTGTTTAGGCCCAGCCCAGTAAAACATACTCATTAATTACTCATCAATCAACGGTCATTAGCCCATTAACAATTAACTAATCAAAAACGTATCGCGTTTATAGTTTCGAATCGTAAGTTCATTACAATACTTGTTGAAATGTGGAAACAATTCATGTTATGGTACTTGTTTGTAGTTGCAGGATCGAATGATAAGTGGATCAATTTACAAGGATGCAAGAATTTTCAAAATACAACACGTTCAAAAAGGGACGCAGGCGGCCTTACCGAGGTCGGGGAAAAGTCGCCCGCTCTATGAGCAGTCAATGCAATATATTTGTTTCACATGTGATTACGTGTTTGAATCATATGTGATTACATGTGACTTGGAACTTCTTCCCTTCTCATAAGTTGAATGTCATCACTTTTGAATCTGACCCCTAGTTCATAATAGTTAAACTACCGGTTTAAAAAAAAATTAAGTGTAATGATTAGACAAATAATTCATTGATTTTTTTTGTAGGTAATTAAAATGAACTAGAGTAAAATTTACTTTACAATTCGTTAGATTATAAAATGAAAATATAAATATAATTTGAATAAAAATATAATCGCATCATATAAAAATTAATTTCAACAATACACTTCAATAAAGTAAAATGAACCCTGAATAAAAGTCTAATCCTTGGTAAATAGGTTACAATATCAACGTCAAGTTAAGAAGACGTGGAACTTTGTGGGATAACTTCTCGGTCAACGATCTTGTTGGTTAGAGGGGGTGGAAATAGCTGTATTATATGCTCACTTACCGAGTAAGTGTCTGATTTTGCGGGGACCATATAGTGGTAAACATCATCATGTCTAACTAGAGATGGTCGGATTGGACCCCGTCCGACCCGAGACCGATCATATATAGGCCCGATTTTAAAAAAAATAATAATAAAGTTTTTGTAGATTATGTAACAAGTTTTCCAATATTTTTATAAGATTTTAAGTTTTTTCAAATGTTTTTCAACTTCCTTTTGAAGTTTTTGAAGTATTTCAAAAAAACGTTTCAATACTAAATTTCATGAAAAAATAATGATATTGAACTCTTGGGCTCGGTTCTAGGGACTAGACTTTGTAATTGACAATGAGTCGGGTATTTTTGGCAGGAACATGAGGTCTACTTCTAGATATTTGATGAGCTTTGCAGGGGAAGCAATATAATGAAGGTATTGGAGATGGATTACTTGAACTTGAAAAAAGTTTATACCAATGATAATGATTCTGATATGTTGAGAAAAGCATTAACAAGTGAAAAGCTCAAGGTATGTTGCTCGATCGTCAGATAGCGAACTCTTCCTCATAGGCAAAAAGGGGGAGATTTATTGGATTTCATTTAATTATTTTTGGCCCATGAGAAATAGTTAAAATAACCCAACAAAAGTGGCTCGATACAAGTTATATATATATATATATATATATATATATATTCTTGTATCCTAGGGTTTTGTAACATGAAGAAGAGAAAGTCTACCAAATACAAAGGTGAGAGAAAAGAGAAAAAGTTCGACTGCATTTTTTGGGCAAACGCCAGACGAGCTATTTTGTCTATTTCCATAATTTGAACCGTCAGATAGTCATGATTTTTTTGGAAATTAGCTTTATAACATCATTATCTACATTCTGAACGGTGTAGATGGGTTTTGGAGGTTCAAAAGGCAGTCTTTTTTGTTCGACAAATAACCGTTTTTCTAGGTGATATTTTTTCCTCTTTTCTTTTTGGTTTGGTTCCGTACTTCTTATAATTTATTCCAAGAGTATGACGACTGTAGTGTGCCTCTAATTTTATCTAGAGAAGGCTTTTGTATTGTGTATTGGTGGTAGTGGATTTTAAGCTTCCTAAATGTACCGTGGTTTCACTCTCGCATTAAGAGGTTTCCACCCTAAAAACCGTGTGTTAGTTTGTGTTATCTTGTTGCTTATTTCTTACTTGGGTGGCTGATTATCATTGTATTTAGCATACCCTATTTGTTTGTATCCTCATAGGTTCATATAAATCGGCAAAGTTTTGTACAATAAAGGTTTATTCCGCATTTGTTGTTATCACAATGACGTGTTTTTTCCATCACATATGAGACGGATTAATTAAATTTTAAAATAAGGTATGACCAATTAAATTAACGCCACAATTTATAATATTTATGTACACTTATCCACAAATTAAATTGATTTATATATCAACATACAAATATTCCTTAAATATACATCTCCAATATTCTAAGAGTCTGTTTATTGACAGTTTAATAAGACTCACAACTTATTCAGTTAGCTATCAATAACTATTTGTAGTGACTTGATATAGAAAAAGGACTTATACAATAAGTTTTACGGAAAGTTTTATGTAGAAAAAAAACGTTCATTCCATCTACAAAAAAATCCTCCAAACAAAAAGTTTTTCAACCTGTACATATAAATTAATCTATACATATAACTTATCCATATAAGATTTAATATAAACTAACCAAAAAGCCTCTAAAACCATTATACTTAAGTTTATCTATCTTTTTTTTTTATTAACCTGAATATCCAACCCGTTATACGAGCCGACTAATCCCAGGACGACCACCTGCTTTGCAGATATCCCGGAGTCACTGCATTTGAACCTCCATGGCCACAATGAGATTTTTATTTCTCCTTGGATTTGAACCTGAAACCTCCTGATATCTTTGACCTTTGGAACCAAGCTCAAACCAAATTAGGTAAATTCAATATGAAAATTAAAGTGCTAAAAAGGTATTTAAGTGCTCGTATATCAATTTCTCTTTGTTATTGGATCCAACGATGGAACCAAATTATTTGATTGTGGATTGGATGAGAATTTTTTTTTCTTCCCAAAATGGGGTTTTCAGAATTTGAGGTCGTCTCTCTAACTTTTTAAAGTTAAAATAATAATCACATGATCTTTACAATTCAACCATGTTATCTTCACTAATTGACAAATATCATTACTTAATTGTATATAACGATAGACTCATGATATCACATGTACAATATCAATCAATTAAAATCACTCGTTATTCAATCAAATAAACAAAATTTTAAATACAAACTTATGTCGTTCGTATGAACTTAGTGGATATCTATTTTTATAAATATTTTAATTATTTTTCTAATATAAAAAATTGATTATAATTGACAAATAATCATGTTTCATAAATATTTAAATTATAATAAATGAACGTAATTATTTTTATAAATATCTCTATTAATTCATTTGAATTTTAAATTTTATATATTGATAATTTTTTAATATAAAGTCATGATAATATTTACGGTATTAAAATCACTTTTAAAAAATAAAGTTGGAGATTAATTACCGCACGTGAGCACACCAACACGTAATTAATTTTTCCAAGAAGAATATTTGCTAGATATGGTGAATCCTAATTGAATTAAAGTATAGGAATCCCAACGGAATCATTTGCATGCTAATCACGTGACCACCATTTAATTTTTTTTTTCTTTTTATTTTAGTTATAATAATAATAATAATAATAATAATAATAATAATAATCCATTTACAGCCTTATTAAACATAATACCAAGCCTATTATTATATATCAAAAATATTATAATACTTAATTTTTATTTAACATTTAAAAATTAAATATTCATATCATTCTAACTCTAAGAGTTGTAACGATGATTTATTTCGAGAAGAAAAATAATGTTCTACTTGTATTAATTTGAATGATATTACTATACGATATACG